TTTTAAAAAAAAAAAAAAAAAAAAAAAAAAAAAAACGTATTTGTAATTATTACACGAGAGTACAGTTTATGATAATAATAATAAAAGAAATGCACATTACATACGCGCGCGTGTGCGTGTGTGTATATATATATATATGTATATATATTTATATATACATGTATATGTATATACTTGACACGTCTAATGATGGTTTTTAAGTTATTTTTCTCTTAAATCTTTGTGTCCCACCCCCCCCACCTCCCGTATATTATAGTTATAATATATTTACACAGACCTAAATAATATGTAAATATATATATATATATACATATATATGTATATATATATATATATATACGTATGTTTATATAATATTATGAATTATATATTCGACAATACACGTTACAGACGGCGTGTTCGCGTATCGCGTCTACGAACATCCGCTAAGCGGTCCCGGGTACGGTTTTTCCGAAAACGGATCGCGCTACGTTTTTTATTTTATTTTTTTTTTTTTTCTGTTTTGTTCTGTTTTTTCAGAAATTTTTTCGACTCGTTTAGGCGGTCGCACGCGTCACACAATAGTACTTAATTTAATTAACCGTTATCGTAATATTATTAGTTTCCAAAAAACCGCGCATATATTATTTTTTTTTTTTTACGGTGAAAAAAAAAAAAATCTATATAATAGTAATAATATAATAATAATATAAATAATAATAATAATATTAATAGTTAATAAATAAATAAATAAATAAATAATAAACAAACCAACAAACAAGTAGCGTAAAGGAACTTTCAGTTATCGTATTTTTTTTTGGTTTTTTTTTTTTTGTTTTTATATACACACATAAATAATATTATCGTAATGTTTTCTTTTTTTTGTTTCGTATTTTTAGTGATTCAAATTGTATTTTGTATTTGTATAGTTTAAATACGAGGAACTACGTACCTTTTTTTTGAGATAAAAACGAATAGAATTATTTTAATAATTTACAAATAATCGTACAATAGTGATAATTTGTCGTTCGATATTAATTTTTTTTTTTTTCAAGTAAGTACATAATATGTAGTATTTTTATTATATATATATATATATGCATGTAAATAGACGGGTCTCGCGTAAAAACAATGAAAAAACCGTAAATAATAATAAATAAATGTATTAGGGGAGAGACGAAAGAAAAAAAAAAAAATTCAACGCGATGAGACCGGGCGGACTGTACAGCGCGTCCCGTCCATCGCTCCCAACCCTCCCCCCTCTATCCGGCTAAAACGCTACCGCGGTTTTCTAGGAATATATGTCACGTCGCGGTTTTTCACGCGGAGTTCGCGCGCGAAACAGTGCGGGAAAATGGCTAAACGATCGTACGGAAAAAAAAACAAAAAAAAAAAACGAAAAACCCCCGAAATATCTCTCTCCCCAGGAACATGAGTGTGAAAAAAGGAACTTTGGGTAAGTTTTACACAATATCGAAATCGAAAAAAAAAAAAAAATACAAACAAACAATCAATACCTAATATTAGTGATAATACGTATTTTACAATAATATCGTTGACAGTAATAATATACATACACGGTGGTTGCGGGTTGCGGGGATGCGGCCGACCGTCGCAGGTCGCCGCGGCGTCTATTGGCCGCCGCTGGGCACGGCCGCCGTGACGTTGGCGGGCGGCACGTTGAACTTGCCGTGCATCTTGGCCGCGGCGGCGGCCGCGGCGGACGTGGCGGCCGACTTTTTGTCGGCGGCCGGCGCGCAGAACAGATTGGCGTTGGAATCGCTGTTCGGGTCCCGCGGTGACGGGCTGCGGCCCACGGCTTTGGCCGCGGCCAGCGCCGTGATCTGGTTCACCACGTCTTCCATCTCGTCCGAGAGGTTCGGCGGCGGTTGTAGCTGCTGCTGCAGGTGCTGTTGCACGGCCTGCTGGTGTTGCTGCTGGTGCTGCTGCTGGTGCTGCTGGAGGAGTTGCTGTTGTTGCCGGCCGACCGCCGAGGCGGCCGCGGCGTAATGGGCCGCCGTCCCGCGGTGCACCGTCTCGATGTGCGCGCGGAGCGCGAGCACCGTGCCGTACGTGTTCGTCTCGCCGTTGGCGCCCACGCCGCACGACCGGCAACCGTACGCCGGGTGGGCCAGGGCCACGGACCCGGTGGTCCGGCACTCGCGCTGCTGGTGCGCGACCAGGCCCACGTTGTCCGGGAACGCCAGCTGACACTTTGCGCACGCGTGCCCGACCGTCCGGCCGCCGTCGATCGCGTAACCCTCGGCCGGCAGTTCGGACGCCGGCACGGTCGCGGCCACCTCGACCACGGCCGTCTGGTCCGGACGCACCGTCCGGCACCGGTCCGCTATGGCCTGGATGACGGACTGGTCGAGCTGAAGCATGCGCACCGGCGTGCCGGCGCCCGCCTGCGGCTGTTGTTCCTGCGGTCCCGCGGCCGGCGTCATGGTGCCGGTCGACGTGTTGGTGGTGCCGACGGCCGAGGCGGCCGCGGCGGACGCGCTACGGTTGTGCTGCAGTTGATGTTCGGCGATCGCCCGCATCCCGTTGATCGTGGTCCCGGACGCGGTCGTGGCCGCGGCGCTGTTCGAGCCGCTCGCTGTAGACAAACCAACAACAAAGTCGTAAATGTTTCGTTATTAGTACGCAACGGTCGCAAACGAAATCGCGCCACGAGACTCGGGGACGGATTTAGGGTGGTGGGTACCCCGGGGCCCGTGCCGGATCCCTGCCCCGGTAAACGGAGCAGACGTCCGAACGAACAAACGAATAAACGGAGAAAAAAGAAAATAAATAAATAAATAAATAACGTAGTGGGCAGATTATCCCGGTAAACCGCGAGACGAAACCGCTCTACCCGGACGAAACGCGCCCCGGACGGACGTTTATGAACCGCGGCCGAGCACGGAACTTCGTGACGACTGGGGTCCGGATTTCCACGGCCGAGAAACGTTTGCGTTTCACAACCCGTAGAATCTATGAAAATAAAAGGCGTTTTTTTTTTTTTTTTTATATATATATTTATAAGTGAATGCATTCGACCCGTCGAGAATCGTTCGGCGTATTCCCGCTGCACGTCGGTCAGACAATGTTTTCGAGCGTTTTAACGAAGTTTACGTTTTTTAATCGTCGGGACGCGATTTACGATTTTTCCGACGGTTTTCACGAGAAAAAGCTCAAGTCGAGTTCAGCCGTTGACGAATTACACGGCCTTACATTTTCCGTGTGTGAAATTTCTTGTCGTTTATTTTTTTCGTCCCGTACGCGACCGCAGCGGTTCATACTGACGTATCGTTGGAGTTCGAAAATGTCAGAGGCGAGAAAAAAAAGATTCGACGCTTTTCGCGTCGCTCGTAAAGTAGCACTTTTTCGTAACGTCTAGGTATTCGACTTTGAGCCGTTTCTCTTGAAAACCGTCCGAATTCGGATCGTTACGGTTCGGCAATTTAACCGCACGGTAGATCGAGACTTTCTCGGTCCGCGTGACCGCTGGCGTACACGCCGAAAGTTCCCGCGGACGGTCCCGTTTGTCTTTATACAAGGTAAAACTAAATACATTATTTCAAATAAAAAAAAAAAAAAAAAACGAAAGAAAGAAAAATAGCACACACCGCCGATCACCGACCTATAAACGTAACAACGTGAAATATATAAAATAAAAAAAAATACACACACACACACACGTCATCAATTCGTCTCTACAACAATACGAAATACTCGCGTTCGCCGTACTGCGGGAGGGCATTTCGGGAAAGAATCGAGTGGCGGATCGCGAAGTACACGGTGACGGGGCGCAAACCGGAAGATCTCCGCGCCCGGACATTCGAAAAACGTATTGCTAATCGAAAACCGTTTTTGCCGAGCCGCAGAGGAATCGACGGTTTATCCGAACTGTCGAACACCGTCGACAGTAGAAACGGTTCGGAAACGCCCGCGCCGTAATCGCTGTACAATGTTATCATTGGTGCACTCTACACCAGTGTTTCCTGTCGGCGGAGACGGGAGTTCCCACCCAGCGGGGAATCTAGGCGCTACGCAATAACGTCGACGAAATCGTAAGCACAGAATGAAAAACGCGCGAATTCACTGCGCCTAAAATCGAAAACGATAAATTTCGCGCGAAAAATCAATACGGGGAAGTGCGAGATTTTCGAAAAATCTGCAAGCGAGGAGGGGCGTAGAACCGAAAAACTAGAAAGTCACCTCGGCGCCGTGGCAGTACGATTCCGGATAACATCGAAAGGATAACCGCGCGAATCCCGGCCCAAAGTTCATCGTTTACAGGCGTTCGCCACCCCACCACCCCCTCCCCCGCCCAACCTTTCTCGGCCCTCGGATTCGACCCGCGTAGGCGGCGCGGCCAAGTGTCCTATTATTACGTGCGCGGATCGACCGAGACTGCCGAGACGGTCGCGCGAAATCCGACGAGCCGTCCGCCGCGCGTACCGACTTTGCGGGTTTTTTTTTTCCATTATTATTATTATTGTTATTATTCCGTCCGTAAAACGAGATTATGTTGTTTTTTTTTTTTGTTTTTGTTTCTGTATCCGACGTTTTTTTTTTTTTTTCTCCACATTGCATGTATTTTCGAACCGGAGAGGCGTTTTTCGGCGTGTGTTCTTTACTCGGACACGTGCAGAGTGTGCCGGGACCGTACGATACCCGTGTCGCACGTGGGCGTGCGTCGTATAATAATAAAATAAAATATATATTTCCATTTTTTTTTTTACTTCGTTTAAATTAAACGAAATATTTCTCGTTTACCTACCCCGCCACCCCTCATCCCACCGGTCTGCGCGGTCGTTCGTCGTGTTCTCCGCTGTTGCTGTGTGTGTGCGCGCGCGCGCCCGAAGTGTACGAGTAGGGTTTTTTTTCCTTTACCGGGCCGCGCGTTAATGACACGATCGATTAAAAAACGAAAAAAAAACGATAAAAAAAAATAATAAAATAATAAATAAATAAAAATGATCCGAGGCGTAAAATTAGTCGTATGACTCGACGGCCCGGCCCGTCGCGTCGTCGATGATTTTCAAACGGCCCAGCCGCGGCGGCGGTCGTAAATACGCGACATCGGTCGCATAGTTCAAATAACGAGTTTTTTTTTTTTTTGTTTCCTATACGCTCAGTCCGTAATATATATATTTTTTTATTATTATTATAATTTCCATTAACAAATCCGAAATACCAGAATCACGTGTGTATTTTTACGCGATAATATAATATTTCGGTCCGCCGTTTTTTACACGCCTTCCATATACGTACCGCGTATACTCGGGGGGAGAGTGTATGGGGGTGGGGTGAAATCGGTAAAAAGACAAAAATAGAAGTTAAAAAATCGGTGTGGGAATCGTAAAAAAAAAAAAAATATATATAATAATAAAAGCCGGACAGACTTTACACCGCGGTAGGCCGCCGTGTCGCGTAGGCGGGGAAGTCGGGAACACGATCGGGCAGTCCACCGCGGCCGGGACAAAATTAAAACCGATCGTATATCGTCGTCGCGGTTCGCTGTCGAGTTTAATCGGTTTTTGTTTTTGTTTTTCCGATGGAAAAAATTGACGTCCGCGAACTCGACCCCCCGCGTCGCCATGCACTAAGTTCCGATCCGCGGCAATTGTCCGGTGCGTCCGGGACGCCGCGAAGTTCTCCCGACAGGACCGCGAAAATGCGGCGAACGTTCGCACGGTTCGTGTCGATTTTCCGGGTCATCCCGGGGCGACGGGGGAAATAATATCGGGGTTGGACCGGGGCTGATAAAGTCACCGGGATTCAGATCTAGAGCGGCCACACGAGTGTATTATTTGTACACACACAAAAAAAAAAGTGCGTTCTGCGATTGATTGTTGAACTCGTCAAAATTCGGAAAGGTGTGAAAACGTGCTAAATCGGCCGAAACGTTTTGGAGAAATGTCGAAGCGTTTTTCCAAACTAGAAACGAGCCGTGCCCGGCCGTGAATTCGAACCGTCATATTAAATGCATTTTCCCAGTCAGAACTGTTTCAACGAATTCAACCGACTTCTCCAGCGACGATCCAGATGCAAATCGCGTAGGCGTACATTCCGGCGAAGAAGCGATTTCTTCTGAAGTGCCCGCAGACTTCCCCGCGTGTCGACACGAACTATTCCGATTTATTTGCGCCGCGCGGAGCAGTAAACCCCGAATCGCCGCGCGTGTCCTCCGCCGTCGTCCCGGAACGGCCCGTCGGCCGCTGTATCGGCTTTTTACGGCCGTGCTTAAGGGGCGTAATAAAATCCAGTGCCAAAAAGTATTCAAAATAAATTTGTATTTATATTTTAATCATCAACGGGTCATAATTGAAATTTTGAAGTCGGGGGGGGGGAGCGGACTCCTCAGTCTTGCCCCGTCCACCTCCGAGCGCCCATGGACGAATTACGAAACGTTATAAACTATTGTCGTCTGCGAGCAGACCGCGGCGGCGTTTTTTATTTATTTATTTTTTTTTTTTGTTTCGTTTTTAATGACAAGACTATCGTGCCCATAATATAATATCGAGACGACGACGACGGGCACACGCGATTTTTTTTCCTCCGGCCCGGCGGCCTATTATATTACGTTATTTTATGTTTTTTAACCGGTCGCGGACGTTTTCGATTGTCTTTGGGTTTTATAATATAATTTTATTATTATTAAAATTCGTCCGAAGGACGACCGCCGCCGCGGCCGCGAACACTTGCGCCGCGGCTATGGCTGCAGACACACACGCACGTGCTCTCGCGCCAAACACACACACAAACAATACACGAGGTTTTTTTATTATTCGATTTTTTTTTTGTTTTTTTAGCAAACTTATCGCACACGAATATTCATTGTTGCGGCGACGGCGGCGTCAGCGGCACATGATCGGATTGTAATATTATTACTTATTACTTCTATACATAATCATTTTATTGGCCGCGGTCGGATTCGCAATAATAATTAGCGGCCACGTCATCTCGTACACGGTATTAAACCGTACCGAGTACGTGCCGGTGAAAATACTGAACCGATGTGTAATCCGAGTACCGTACGTATAATTATGCGATACACAAAAGAACGTGATATTATGCAAGAAATAGGTAAAAAAAAATAATGGAAAACGACAAATTTCCTCATCGTGTTTCCGTCGAAATCGTCTCTAATACTCGGCGGGCGAGTATTTAGGTGTTGGAGGACGGGCGGGATATCGGCTCCGGGCGGCACGTTTCGACGGGTGACCTCAAATTTGAGGGTTTTTTTTTTTTTTTTTAAATATTAAATCCGGTTTACACTCGATCGTTTGAATATTTCGGAAAGTGCGCAAAACCGACGCACAAAATACTGCGGAGAGAATTACCTATCGGTCATAGGCAAATTGAAGGGGAAGGGGGGGTACTATGAAATCTTCGGCATCCCAATGTTTAAAATTAGCACCATCAAAAAAAAACCCGACCAGCTTTTTCATAGCAACGGCAAAATATGTCAACCGCATATTTCATAATTAGCGAGCAGAACAGAATACGGACGACGCACGGCACGATGAGTATGAACAAAAAAAAATGTTAGAATAGTTATAATGGATTTGCAAATGAAACGTGCAGTTGACTATTGCGGAGAGTTGTGCAAAAGCGATTGAGGGGAGGGGGGGCGCGAAGCTATAGCTCCCGCGGGTCTTTGATGCGTCCATCATTTTAGCGCCCCCAAAGTTTGTGATCCAGTTGCGCCTATGCTTTCGGTTAATATTTTCAATCGGTCGTTTGGCTGTGATATCGTTTAGCCGACGGCGGCGCGAAATCGGTTCCGCAGAAACAGCATTTATTCGTCTCGGAGATAGTGGTAATTGTTTTTTATGTTCATTTATTTCGATAACGCGGTTTGTAATAATATTCCGAGAGGGGGGGGGTGGATCGACAAGCGGACCCGAAATAAAAAAAAAAAAAAAAACAAAAAAAACCGTTTTTTCGTCGGTTTAATTAACACAAGAGCGCCCAGATTATACACGAGAGGAACCGCCGACTCGACAGGAGGAGAAAACCGTTGGAAATTCAAACGGACTACGGTGTTCGATTACCTATGCGGACGTACGGCGGGTTACAGTGGATTTCATACGTTTCGGTGGCCGCGGTAAATCAACAAAGTGTTGTTACAGACGACGGATTTTTTTAGGTGTTTAAGATACCTAACGTGTAGGTGAGTTACGTACGGTGTATACAATAAAGTGTAAATATTTCGCGCGTGAAATAACTCGATTTTTTATGATTATTTTGTTGTTTTTTTTTTTTTTTTACTCTGAAAAGAGCGAAAAGCGTATGATAGTTATTCGTGTATATTCTAATAATAATGACAATAAATCATACTTATACGAGTTTGCGCGTTTCGTGACTTTTCGTTATGAAAATACCATGTATATAGAGTGTAAATATTTTTTTATTATTTTTGTATTTAAATCGCATTTTTTTTTTTTTACCGAAAAATTCGTCCGTCTGTGTACGATAATCTCGCTGGGATGTGAACGACAGAGAAAAGGTTAAATTAAATTTCGGAAAATAATCCGAAAACCCGACTCTGTAAACACCGAATGTCGCCGCCACCCCGAAATTTTTTCCATCTCCCGCATCGGACAAACGTGGCCAAAATCATTTTCCAGGCCCGAATTTTTCCGATTTCGCTCGAGACTATAAATTATTTTATCTCTGTCGCTCACTGTCGGATTTCTCGTTTTCTCTTTTCGGCACAGTCCAGTTCCATTAATATTTCTGCTGCGGCCATCACACTCCACTCCATAATAACTAACCCCGGAAACCTCCGCGGTACTCGATTCGGATGTAATCGTATTTCCGTTGTATAAGCGAACGTTTAAGTCAAGGTTATTGTCCATAAAGACGAAGAGCTCGTTGCGCCTATTCAGTTTTGTATGCACGCGTGGGCGTCGACAAAGTCGGAGGGTACGCGTGTATGTGAACGGATAACAGAATACGCATAGCCGAGAGCAATAATCGACGGGCCGGACACCCAGCACGGAAACCCACGAACGCAGGACGACAAGGGATGGGCCGCACGAGTCCGGAGCCGCGTGGGGCCAAACATCACGCGAGATCACAGTATTATTGGAAGTCGGACGACGGAAAAAGACCGAGAGGACGACCGAGACGGCGGCGGACCGGACGAGTCGAGAAACACTCCGAGTTCCTCGGGAAATATGCGGCGGGGGGAGGAAACCGGCCGGTGACGGGGAGGCACGGAGAGGCGTTTACGAACGAGCCGTACACGAAAAATCGTCGTCGTTAAAAATCCGGGACACGAATACGTATTATTGCCTATCGCGTGTAAACGAAAGTTAAACGAATTGTCACTCTGTACCCGGTCGTCGGCGTGCGGGGGAGTGGGAGGGGTGAAAATCTCATTTCGAAAACGAGTCTTCTCCTACGACGCCGCCGCCGAGGATTATAATACACGTACCCATACATACGTTATATTATTAACGACGACAAAGATATTATAATAATAATAATAATAATATATACTTATTATGGTAATGCGACAGATCGAGACACACACACACACACACACACACACACAAACACACACGCACACACACGGATATTTTATAAGTACGATTTTTTTTTTATTTTTATTTTGATTTTTTTTTCCCTTCCATTCTTTCGTAATAATATTATACGACGCGTCGAGACACCGCGGCACAGCACCGGCCTTTATTATTATTATTATTTTATTTTTTTTTTTTGAAATTTTTTTTTTATTAGTAGTATATAGTATTATTAATGGCTTCCAGTTTTTAATTTCCAAGAAAGTATATTATAATAATATTATTATAAGCATATAATAATAATAATAATAATAACGCTGGGTTCCTTAACGAACAGACAGCGGCGGCGGCGGATAAAATAAACGCGTGTAATAAAATGTGTCAAATGCAAATGAACATAGTAGTAGTAGTAGTAGTAGTAGTGGTGGTAGTGGGTAATAATAATCGTTTATATGTATGTATGTATATATATACACATGAAAAAGAATATATAATAAAAAAATTATTAAAAAAAAAAAAAAAAAACACAAATAAATAATATGGAAACTAATAATGAAATATGGTCGGATGAGAGGCCCACGTTCGGACCGCCGCCGCCGCCGCCGTATATTTATAAGATGATAATAATAATAATATAATTTACGTTTTTTTTTTTTCTTTTTCTTCTTCCTCCCAAGATATACGCGCGTGTGCGTACGGAGAAGAGGAATTAAACGCTAGCGCATGCGATGTGCTCGCATATAATTATAAAAAAAAAAAATAAAAAAATATATATATATATATGTATAAAAATAAATCTGAATAATATTATTATTATTATTATTATTATTAGATATTGTAATAATATGCGGTGCACCGTATACACACACACACACACATACTGTGTATATGCGTGTACATATACATATACACGCTATACGGCTACACACTGTATACACTCATATACGGAATAATAAGAGAGCCCCCGGAGGTGTGGTTGTTAATTTTAACATCACTTTAATATGTAAATCGGTAAACGGTCGGTACTAATGAGCGACGAGTAAATCTCCTTGTCCGCCGCCGCCGCCGCCGCCGCCGACCACCGCGGGACCTATACGCCGCCGACGACGTTCGATTCGTAATAGTATAATATTATCATCGCGTATACGTTTATTATTATACACGAAAATTATAATTATTAACAAAAAAAAAAAAAAAAAAAAACAACCGTCCGTGAGCGGCAGAACTCGAGAGTCGCTCGTATCGAATTTTCGCCCGGCCGACGACGATAATTATTCCCGTGTTCCGAATCTGACCTGACCTTTGCACGCGGTCGCCGGAATTCGACTGCAGACAAATTATTATTGGCGGTGGGTCTCTAGAGTTGAGACCACCGACCAAGAAGCGCGTCCTGGATACTTGAACAAATTACGTCCCGTCGGTTTTATTCGTGGGGTATGATTGTACACCGGGCTACGAAAAACTGGCCTCTTCCCGCGAGAACGAGGCGAAATCCGCGTTGACAGTTTACCGCGATTTCAATCGGTTTCGAAATTATCGATCCGCCGGCAACACAAACGCTAATTCCCGAGGTCGAGCGCACATTCTGGCCCGCGAGGATTCGCCAGAAGTGTCCGAGAGTATAACGGGGAAAAGATACAACGTGAATTCTGTATTTTAAAATTCGACAAAAAGCCGGACGGACTGGAGACAATTCACTAAGACACAGTAGCAGATAGGAAGTTTGATAGGTGTACTGTATAGCCTTCGGGTCCGGATGAGCAGAATTGTGGATACGTTTTGTACCTTTATAATTTTCTGTAAGAGCGACAAATTTTCAACAGATCACAAACTCTATGTTATGATTAATAATTTTCGTGACGACAGCGGCCATATACAGGTATCGATGAATCACACGTTCGGCCGTTAAGTTCGTGGGTTTGTTTGTTTGTTTCTTTATTTTTTTTTTTTTCATTTATAACCCGGACTCGGCACACATTGTAAATCGGTACATCCGGCAGTAAGTATCGCTCGGGACGTATGACGCACGCCTCGCGATTCCCAGAAACAAACCGATCGCGTTCGAAATCGGTGCTATTACCTAATATCGAAATCGTAATTTTACACGATAAACCCGCGGACGGCGGGTTTTTTTTTTTTTCAAAATTGTTTTGTTTCACGGCCGCGGGAAGGCGAATGACTGCGGCGTTCCGAACCGAAACGGTTTACGTTTTTCTTATTCCTTTGCGCCCCGACTGTTATCATTGTGCCCGGCCGATTTCTCGGCGTTTTTCACGTCCACCCCCCTGCTAGTTATCTTTACCGTCGTGGGTCGCACCCACCCCGCGTCACGGTCATATATTAATGCGGTCCGGACCCGTCACTTCCACCCCGTACACAATACGACAATAAAACAGTCGCGAAGGTGTAATAATATAATATCCTATATACGACCGTGTCGCGAGGTCGAAATACCTGTGCCGGGTCCTCGGGACATATTATCGTCGGACCCGCGCAACGATATTTATTGCCATTGTCGTTATTGACCGCTGCGCCGGACGCGGGTTTTTGAACGGACAACCGAGGGCCAAAGGACATTTTTATTGTACTCCGTATCTTGTCGTGGGAACGGAGACATTTTATCGCGGGGAGGTTACGGTGCTGCTGCGACCAGAAAAAGATAATTTCGATGCGACCGTACGCGTCTTCTGTGCGTGCACTGCGCCGACGAAAACGAACGAGCCCGGACTAGAATTTAATACAATGTACGGTACATTACCTGGACACACTATTATAGGATTGTCGCGATGAATCCGAAAACGCAACGTCGGGGTACTCGGACAACATCGCGGGTACACCCGTTTGAAAATCCGTAAAATCCCAAAACCCGTTGTACTCGAAACGCGGATTTTCTCCACTGCGGACAGTGCGTTTAGCCGACCCGCCGAAGTTTAGTTTATTGACTTTCGAAAAAAAAAAAGTCGGATGTATGGGAATTGCGAACAGTATACAAAACGCATCATTGTTTTTGTTTGTGTTTCTTTGAAATTCAAACTGTTGAACGCGACAACGAACCGTCCGGGACTTTTAAGCGAAATAAATGTATCGTCCGCTTACGATATTGCGGAAATAATTCGCTTTTCGCGTATAGACGGACTCGAACGTCGTTTGCGTGTTAATCGTTGATAAACGCGGTAAAAAAAAAAAACAAAAAACAAAAAACGATCGACAGTCGTTCGTAATCCGTTCGGGCGATCCGTCAAGTTATATAATACAGCGCTGAACTAATTTTCTCTATTTCCTCCCTGACCGGCACACGAGAACTGTTCCGTTTACGGGCTAAACCGACGACGCGACGGAAAATCGGCTTACCGCGGTTCCGAGAGCGAGAGGGAGGCGTGTACTCGGATTTTCCGGTCTTCTCGGGCCTCCTCCGGCGTGAAACGGTTTGTTTATTTGTTCGGGCGTTTTTTTATACAGTTGTTTTTTTTTTTTTTTTTTTTTTATTGGGGTCCTGCAAACAAAACGCAAACAGGAAGTCACGGACATTTATCTGCGGCGTACGCGCGCGATACGGATACGGGGCTTGCCGACCGTTTTCCGGCTCCCTCCCCTCTTTACGCGGACGTATACGTGTTCGCTGTCGACCCCCGCGTACACAACGACAACAACAACAACAACAACAGCGACAACAGCGACACGAGAACGGAGTGTTATCTCCGCGAGCGCAGGTATATATATGTGTGTGTACTACGTTCGGACACACGAGGGTCGCCGTGACCGCACGCGCGTCCGGAGGGTCAGCTATTCCCCCGCCCCCCCCCGTCACTTCTTAGCGCGCGCGGCGTTTTGTTTTCGGGGGACGGTTTCTCCTTTCTTTTATTTTATTTTTTTTTTTTTTTGTTCGCCCCCGGCCCGACGACAACACAATATATTATAATGACGCCTATAATACGCCGCAGCAGTGGTACCGGCAGCGTCGTAAATCCCAAACGGAACGATAACGTTCGGGGGCACGCCCGGGTCTCCATCGCGGTCCTCGGAACGTCGTCGTCGTCGTCGTCGTCGGCGGCGGCGGCGCCCGGAGAATTTATAAACCGCGCCGCGTCTGCCGTCGTGTACGCGCACCGATATTTCGTACCCTTTGACCTTATTTTCACGGCTCTCGGCACTTGTTCAGCGCGGCGCGACCCTTTCTCGGTCCGCGGCACCACGGCCCCGCGACGACGGCGCGCGCTCGCGCGTACGACACGATAATTTATCGCCAGACATTCCTTTTTTCCCCTCCCCTGTCTCCCCGCCGTTTCGGCGTACGCGCAATAACATCGTTATTATTTACATAATAATAATAACAATAATAATGATGATGATAACGGTTTCGCGGCCGGTGGTATTGTGATATCGCGGCGTAGAATTTTAATTTTTTTTTTTTTCGAGCGACGGCGGCGGACAAAACACAGCGAAACGGAAACAAAAAAAAAAAAAAAAAAATACCCCCGGAAAATTATTCAAATTACATTATCATTATGCCCGCGACCGCGGCACCAGTGTATTACGAACCCCCCTTCCCCTCCCCGCGGCCTTTATTTACGATAATGTATACGGAACAAACAAAAAATGAAAAAAAAAAAAAGGTTTATTACGCCGCCGCGACGTTTTTTCTACGTTCCGGCGCGCGTACGTAACGTACGCGCGCGCTGCCCGGTACGCGGTACCGCCGCGCCGTTATCGGCCGCCGTCGCCGTGCAGGTGGCCCGCTCTCGGTGCGACCGTCGCGCACGCGCGTGTGCATTATTTATACGCGGTACGTGCGCGCTGTACCGAGTCCGGGATTGAGACGTCTCTTCGGAGCGCACCAACCCGCGGGCCGCGCCGTCCACGACGAGACACGGCGTCCCGGCGCGTGTCCGCGCGCGCGATCCCCGCCGAATCGCCCGGCCGTCCGGTCCGCGGGACACCGGTGCCGGACGCCGCCGGTCAACTCCCGTCGGTGTTTCGCGTTTCGCTCGGTAATCGGCCGCGGTCGACGTTCGATTGCGCGGGGGTGTGGGGTTTCGACGCCGCGACGTTCGGCCGACGAGTACGAACCCGTTCGGCTCTGCCGCAGTGAAATCTGCCGATCGCCACTCGCCGACTGGTCTTGCGCGTCCGACCGGACGACCGTCAATGTCACGACACCGATAATGACGATAACGGTAACCGGGCTGCGCGAACGCGAAACGTACGCGGAGGGTTTTCGTTTTTTTTTTTACATTTTTAAAACTCCCCCTAAAACCCGCACCCGGGAACAACGCAGAGCAGTAGTGGCGTGCCGAAGAAGGTCTGTCCGAGACGACCGCCTCGTGACGACCAAAACGGGCGGGCGGACGGCCGACCGAATGTGTCGAACGACGAATGAGTCTAGTTCGGCCGTTTCGGGGATTTCGTTTAGCGTTGCGTATTTTAACTGAATAAAGTGTTTGTTGTAATTGTTCGTCGGACGCCCATAAAAATCACCCGTGTTCGGATCGGGCGGGTTTTAATCTTTTGGTTTCGTCTCGAGTTTGAAAAATATTCGACACGCCACTAAGAGTATTTCAGAACCGCGCGTGCGGTTCGGACAGCAATTTCGCGGGAGTAATGGTCCGACGGTTTTTTTATTTTCTATCGGCATATCGCTAAAAAAAAATAACGTTCCGTTTTAAAACGGTCTTTTATTCTTCGGCGCTTTTTTTGAAATTCAATACGTGTGTTCGGAGCTTTACGAGAAACACCGACGAAACACTCTCGATGATTTTTAGCCTTGTTTCTCCCGAAACTGCCGACGAAAATAATACGCATTATTTTTATTCCAAAAGACTCCGCGGAAATATTCATTTCACGTCGGCGCAAACTCTAGCCGACGCGGAGGACTTTCTCGCCGAATGTTTTGCGTATTTATTTTAATTTGTCTTATTGTCTTACAGTAGATCGTATTTATCGCGCCCTCGGCCGTACCCGCGAAACGGTGCGACTACTCTCCGACGGTGTACGGCTGTCGCGGTCCTCGTTCACCCGGTCGTCGAACGCCTCCTGTTTCCACCGCGTGTATTTATTAACGTTAAACTTTGCCGTCGTTAAGCCCGTCAGACGTTCGCAATTAAAACTTGACCCAGTTATATTTTCCCGGTCTCCTTTGAGAGGGGCGTTAATTGCCGCTAAGAGACTGCGGCGGTTTGCGGGACAGCGAGACAATCCCTCCGGCGGCGGCACGGGCAACAGGTGGCAAACGGGGGCCGTTTAATTAAAATATTCCGGCGTGGTTAAAGCCAGAAAAAAAAAAACCAAGACGTTTATTATAATAATAAGGCCGACAACAAAATTAAATGTAAAAAAAAAAAAAAAAAAAAAAAAAAAAAAACCCCGTACACAAAAGAATCCTTTGGCTCGTGCCCGCGTTCGTATAATAATATTATATACCCAGTCCTTTTCGGGGTTAATGAAGGACTGTATTTATACTAATATACGCCGACACGTTTACGTGTATATAATACCGGAGACTCCCCTCTTTTCGAGCCACGTTAATTTTTTTTTCGCTTCTCTTTTTTTGTACAACAATAATATAATGATTGCTCTATTTCTTCCATTTTCACATCAACCTCCTCCCTCTCTCTCTCTCTCTCTCTCGAGAGAGAGAGAGAGAGAGAGACGTGTAATTAAAACCCAACTCGCGGCCGATAATTGCCGCTAATTGTTTGACGTCCTGCAAGTATTTTATAGGGGAACTATACAGTGCCGCGACAAACGGCCGTCGAGTCGCACCGGGTGGATGGTAATGGAAACGGAGGGGGAAAAAAAACACAATTTCCGGAACCGTCCGCTTATTATTAGTAGTGGTACAACCCTTTAATTTGTCGAATTATTATTATTTCATTATTAACATTTTGACCGCGCGCGTCCATTATTAAAATATAATATGATCGGCCGTATACCCGTAGATTATCGTTATACTTAAACGGACGGGTTCGACATTAAACAAATTATACGCGTACAACCGATGGATCGTTCGTATAGTATTACAAGTACCTGTATAGTTTCCGTTCCGAGGGCAGTGTGTTTGAAAATTTCGAAAAACGCATATTGAGTGTAATGCGTAGAATTGACCGTAAAATTAAATTAAACTATAAAATACAATAGACGAAATATACGAACGTCTTCGGTTCAAATTTTTTTCCAATTTGAACTATTTTATCCGAGTATTACGTTCATAGGCTTTACGAAAAAATTGATTGTGAATGGGTCGCATAGGTTTTCTCCCGTGAAAAGAATCGAAAGATTTTGTCTGTTTACTGATTCATATACGACACCACGAAAACCTTCCGGTGAGAAAAAGGTATGACCCCCCCCTTCCTTAAAATGCTATAACTGTGTACACGGCGATTCATCAAAAACCCGGTGACATTTTCGCGTTTTTTAACCACGCGACATGTAGTGTGAAGCGTTCTAATTAAGCGAAAAAGTGTTTTCCGAGAAAACAAAACCAAAATAAGGACCTGGGGGGCGATAACTGTTTAGATATAGTAATGACGAGCAAAAATTCCGTACCTTTTGATGTGTATTGTGTGAAAAAATTAGAACAATTGACTTAACTTGCCAAAAACGTGTTGAAAAAAATATTAGGAATTTCGAAACATTTTTCGAATACATTACCGTCGTCGGTCGAAAAATCTGCAAGAAATAATCAGAAAAGCGGTTTCCGATAAAATGAAACGTAGTAAAACTTACAACGGTTTTTATCGTTACCGCTCGGAATCTCGACCAAGTCCAAATCAAAGGATTACGATAACAATCTGTTTTTGTCAATTCAAACCGTCAACACGGTATTCTTATCAGAGATCGGAGACATTTACACGTGCCTACGTAATTGTTACATTTGTTTATTTTATTTTTTTTTTTTTTTATATATAAAACAGTCGGCCAACTCTAGTAGGTAATTTCGTGACGGTATAACGAGTCTCTATAGACGAGAATGCGTATACCGAAGAGACGGAGCTCTGCTACACACTCGTAGTACACGTTTTTTTATTTTTTCGTTGTCTTTCATTCCGTCTGTCTTCGAGTTGACCGAAAAAATCCCACTGTCACGGTGGCGGCAGCGGCAAACTTTGATTCTCGCACGACCTTTTCGGCGCGGCGCCCGGAGGGGAGCCCTGCGCGCGCCCCCCCGTCGGCCGTGCGAAGTCATTAGCGCGCGATTGTCTGTGCGAAACCCCGTTTACCGGTCGTCGTGTTATTATTATTATTATTATTTCGATTTCGATTATTATTGTTCGTATTATTATTATGTACTCGGCGCACTAATGATTCACACGGTTATACGATTATTTTTTTTTTCGTTTTTTTTTTTTTACCTTATGTGTGTGTGTGTGTGTGCATATTTCGTCGGGTGGCAACAGTATGCGAGTAACTGTAATAATAACGACCAGTAATCATTACGACAGCCCAAATATTGATCGACCCCCGGAAACGAGACGTCAATAAATCCAATACCGTATACATGTATACATTATTATACGCAGCGCACTATGCGAGGACTCTGTACTAATATCAATACTCCATCGGTATTTATCCGGGAGTCTTTTGTACAATATACATACGGGTTTCCTCCTCTGCTCCCCCCTCCCATCCCATCATGACCCCCTCGCCGCCACTCGTCACACGCGGAGTCGTATTTTGTTATTGTGCGTATAGACGCCGCGAACGGGCTAACCGGGAGTCCCGCGGTCGTGACGTGTCGTGTCGGGTATACGCGCGTCGTTGGGATCCGAAATCAATAAGTCGGAAACCGGGGAGCGAAGAAAAAAAAAAAAATAAAAATTACGAAAAAGTTAACACCTTCTCGCCCCGGACGTAACGATACAATAATATATAATTATTATTATCGGCGATACGATCGGTAAAAACGGAAATTTGTTCGTTTCTATACAAGGCCGTGTCGCCCGGAAGAAGTAAAAAGAAGAAAAAAACCCGCCCAAGAGCCGCCGGATAACAGTGTTAACATTTCGACCTGATATCCCCACCTCCAGCGAATTTCGTATTAGAAATATATCCGTCACTGGAAAACAATAAATAACCGAATATATTGCGAAATATCAAAAGTCTATAAAACACGTGCTGTACACGCCGAAACTTAAAGCGTCTCGTCCGTCCTCGTCGATACAACGCAATTCAAAATTGTATATCTCTGTTCGGAAGGGGTTCAAAGCTAAAATATCGGTCCGCAACGACAATGATATGCTGAAATTCTTATTGGTTCGTATTCGTTTACGCGACTTTTGTCCACTGGATCCGTCAGTACAGAGCACCACTATAGTTCCCTAGAGTGCCGGTGTCGTTCGGCCCGAAAATAACGGCGAAAAGAAAGCTATACATCCACGGGAATAGGAAGAATGTTCGAAACATTTGTATCTTTTATCATTTTTTTTTTTGTTTTTGTTTTTTTTTGCGTAAAGTCACTAAAAAAAAAAACGACACAGTATTTTTAAACCACACACAATAACAACGAACGATAATATTATATTTAATTGATTGGAATGAGTATTTTGAAATTTGCGTTTTGACATAAATCTAAAACATGTATTTTCGGCATTAATTATTCGTTGGAATTACTGTATTACTGAAATCGCGTCTAGATTCACTCAGTTTTAAAATATCGCACCCATCGCCAAACAATACGACGGAAATAGCCTCGGTATTTCCCGAAGGAGAATTATATCGAGAAAAAAAACACGCAGCGGTCAATGGCGAACGCGAAAATCCGTTCGTCGAGCCCCGATAAGTTAGACGTCACGCCGCCAGAGAAAATACAGTCGTTCCGGAATTATATCGGTGAGGACGACGATAAACTAAACACGTCCGAGACTTTTATGGCTGACCGTATGGCGCGGTGCGCGCAACGTTTACGCGGTCCGACGACGGGTTTTCGGACGAGTGTGAATGTTTTTTTTTTTTTTCGGACCCGTTAAAATCGCTGTCGTCGGGTTTGTTTTTTTTTTTCACTCTGCACGTTCGCCGTCGTCCGAAAAATCGTTCGCGGTCGATTGCGCGCGACAAAGAACGACCGCGCGTCTTGGCGGCGGACTGTTGTACGAAACAATGCGCGAATATTAAAACGAACAAAAAAAAAAAAAAAAAACCCGACATTTCTAAAACCGGACGGTAATTAGTCGTTTTGGATGCGAATCATGTTAAGCCCGACACATCCGGGCGGTTACCTAAACTGGTCGGCGGCGGCGGCGGTTCATTTGAGTCGGATTTGTGTGCGTTTTTTTTTCCCCCCTTCGTTATTTTTTAGCGCAGCACGTACCTATATAATACACAACGCCGTCGTCGTTGTCGGCACTCACCATTAACACCCGATATGCCATCTCTTTACCCGTTTGGTTTTTTTTTTCGTTCTTTCAACTCCCAGAAAAAAAAAAAAACCCAAACAAACAAACACAATTACAGGATGCGCCACCTTCTCGCGATCGAGGCGGAAGAGGGAAGGGGGAACGACAAACTCGCCGCGAAGGTAAAGTATAAAATCATCAGGTAATAATAATCAGTACGTATAATCACAACACCCGCACCCAGCGTGTATACGCGCGTAGGCAGGTTTTTCCACGGGTATTTTTTTTTTTTTTTTTTTTTTTTTTTTTATCACACGCGTTTTGTTTGCTTTGGAATAACAGAAAAACAAAACAAACACCACTATAATATGAGTCGTAGACAGTATTGTTTGCTCATCGTCTGCCCTCCGTATACATGACGTGCGCTGCTGTGTACGTCTCTGTGACTTTTGATTTCTGGCTGTTTCATAATACAATAATAATACGCTTAGTGAGTATAAATATAGTAGGTATATACACATAGGTTACGATTTCGAGACGGGGGAACGACGTTTATGAGTTTACGGACAGAAAAATGTATTCGAATTTCCGTGAATTCCTGATGTACAGTATTCGAAGGGATACTAGACGATAATAAATACTCTGTATCTGACATGAGTACCTATACCTAATAGATAAAAATATGAATGATAAAAAACTATCGAGAATAGAACAAATATATTGTTTATTGTTCTATATCCCCCCTCTGCTGATTTAAATATACGACAATTATTATAAATATTTATTTTGGTAATTTATTCTTGAAATGTATACATTTCAACGTTTAGCCGATTCACGAGGAAAAGCTCGATAAACGATTTATTGAAGAATACAAATTGGCTTTATTGTATACTGGTTTTTAAAATTCCCATTGTCGGGTTAAGCATTAGGAGTCTGTTTATTCTTGGACACGTTTCTGATTGAACAGTATATAATTGTATTTATTTATCTGCATTTGTACGAGTATATCTTTACGTAAACAAAAATTCCATAAAAAATATGCGAATGAAAATGAATTAACTCGACACAAGTGACAACAGACGCAATTAAAACATTTTCAAAAGGTACCTATACCTATACACGGTTCCAATACAACTGAGATGCTTACTGACAATCAATGATTTTTTTTTTTTTTTACTAGAGGAACCGGATCGTGCTAAGTTATTCAACTGGCCCGGTATTTATATAACAATATCATATTTGGCGATTCAAGCAGATGTTATGAAAACAAAAAAAATGTATGTTTTATTGTACACCGATCATCAAATTCTTGTGTTATAACCGGCATTCCAATTATCTTTTTCAAATTCCGTGATTTTCTCATCATGACACTATATTTGGGTAAAATCGATTGTGAATTAATCGGCTACTGGCGTACATGCATTTTTGTGGGAGGTGTTGAAACGTACAAATTAGATTTAGAAAAGAGGTTTTAGGTGGTAAGAAAATAACCGCGTTTTGAAAATTGCATACGAGAGATTTTAATCGTACGATGGCCGTTAATTGGGCCAGCGGGATGTTGAGCACGATCGGCCAAAACCGCCCGATCCGACAATAAGAGTCGCTATAGTAAACCGCGAGATGTCGTTACCGTTCGCACGGTCTGAATAATACGAATAGAAGTGATTGTATAGTTTTTTGAAGAAAAAAAAATATAATAATAAACACAAGAGACGATAACGCGGACGATCGCTGAAAGCTGCGGACAGTAAAATAATAAATATTACAATCGTCGCCCACGTCCCGTTGTGTTTTATGAATAAAAACTCGTCGAGTAGGTACGTGTTTTATTTTTTGTAATTTAAATTTAAAACGCGCGCGCGCGTAGGGTCGGTAAAAAACAAAACGAAATATACTGGAAATAAAAAATGACTGGCACATCATCGTCGTCGTGTCGTCTGCGGGCGCGAGCGCGCGCGCGCTAGCGCATAATCCGTTTCCCCGCGGACCCGACCGAACACCTGCCCGAATAATTATTATTATATAAAAAATGTTTTATTATCATTATTTATTATTTTTTTATTTTTTTAATAAAAGAATAGAAAAAAAAAAAAAAAAAAAAAAAAAAACGAGAGACAACAGCAGTCGCGGCAGAGCTGCAGCGCGGTCGCTTCGTCGCTCTTCGTCGTCCGCGTCGTCGTATACCCTCCGATTATAAACTACACGACGCAGACAATAATAATAATAATAATACGGTACTACAAAAAAGAAGACAAAAAAATTAAAAAAAATACGCGTTCTCCTCCGCGCTCACAATAACTACATACGTACGCGGAATACTAATTGGGTTAATAATATTATTATTAAAATACGCCGACTGTGCACACACACACACACACACGCATAATATACCTACACACACTGAGACGTGTAATATTGTTTTTTTTTTTTTTTTTTTTTTTTTTTATAATACACTTTATTCTATACGCAACGACGACGACCCCGAGTCCGTATATTATAATATATTGATAAAAAACAGTAGTGGAGGGGGAAAGGGTTGATTTTCGTGTTATTATCTATTTGTTTTTTTCTGTCGTAATCGTTTATTGTTCGCGAAACAAAGTCGAGTAATTAATGCCGCGATCGTTTCTATCGGACTACCGCGAAAACATTGCACCCGGCAGCGGATTAAGCCCGAGTTGTAGCCCCGGGCACGTATTTGTTTTTTTCGCGTGGCCCGTTGTAAGGTCGTTTTAGCGAGAGATTATAACCGAAACACGTAGAAGATTTTTTTTAAAAAAAAAAAAAAAAAACGAACTGCGGAAAATGTAGAACTTCAGCTGTACAATCGTATACTGTTTAAAACGTTTTGATATAATAATATGATGAAAGCGCGCGGCTATTTCGTGTCCGCGTGTTCCGTGTTATTGAGTACGCGGTGTCCCGTGTGAAAACCTTCAAGACTTCTGCGAAGCCGCGTCGAATAGATATACAGACGGGTGGGTGGTGGAGAAGGGCAATCGAAAATGTCACGTCGGGTAGGTCACGTTTTCGGTAATCTCGCCGACAAACGGGAAATTCGACGGACGACGCGAATATCCGTCCAGCCGTCCGACAAACGACGCGCGAAAAACCGCAAGCAAATATACCTGCTGCGAGTGTAAGCGCACCCCGGGTTGTTTTATTTTACGATTTTTTTTATTACGTGAACCGCGTACAATAATAATATATGTATATAATTATTAAAATATTCGTCGTGCGCGCACCCTCCGCGATTCCCGCGTTTGCGGCGAACTTAACAAAGTACAACAACAAACAATATTGCGCGGCATACCCTATCTCGCGACCGGAGATTCGAAACGTCTCGTCCGCCGCCGTCGCCGCCGGCGTCTCGTTATTATTTTTTACGTGCCCGCCGCCCGTCCGCCGTTCCGCCGATGATTCATTTAGATCCGAGCGACTTTTTGCGACGCTAATGCCCGCGTATAAAAATCGAGAGAGAGAGAGAGGGAGAGAGGAAAAAAAGACGTGCATTTTTTAAAAAGACCCTTCGCGGTTTTTCCTTTACAGTTTGTTAAGTCTACTCGCGGTGCGCACGCGCGGTGTTTGCACACGCGGTGAGTGGGAAAAAAAAAATAATAATAAGGGGCTCTCCTTAATTAAAAAAAAAAAAAGCAGCCAAAGAAGGTGGGCGTGAAAGAAGGCGACCGTTATTAAAAAAAAAACCCTCCCTCTACACGCACGACTGTACGATGACGACGTCGGCTGAAAATGATCTGATTTATATTATTTCTTTTTTCTTTTTCATTTTTTTTTTACCGCAGCCGCACTCTTATTAAAATATAAATCACACTACCCTCTTGTGCGAGAAACGTCGACAAAAATAAAAGACGCAAGTATACAACATTTCTTTATTATAGTGATGTCGTTTCAATGGACTTTTTTATGCGACTTCTCCTGCTGGATTTAAACGTTGAGGGGCCCAGAGCGAGAAAAATGTTAATACCTCTACGGGGTGGTCTGTAATAATATACGTACATAAAATGTATAACGCAATATAAAAAAAAAAAATGTTTTCCAAAAACCGATTACGTATCGATAAATAAACTGTATTTATCTTTCGAACAATTAATAAACGGTCATTGTCGGCCGATTGCCATTTTAAATGATGTTTGAAGCGAAGTATCGGTCGTACTAGTATGAGTTTTTGTACGTGTCTGTTGACAACTTTTCTACCAGAAATCTCGCTCCTATTAAACACTTTACAGAGGAACTATCTTGTAGAATTTTCGATTTGGTTGACATATCGACGGTATAATTTTTTCTATCTTCTTCCTTGTAGTTTTCCGAACAATTATCGATTTCGATTCGTAAAAACGGCGCCCCCTGAAAATGCGCCGCCCCGGGGCATTTGCTCTCCGCGACTTCCTTCAAATCGGGCACCGGAAAACGCTCTGATACGGTTTTTAGTACGGTTTCCCGCGATATATACGCGCGCCTGTAGTAAAACACATATAAAACACTATACATACACTAATATATACGTCGTATGTGTCGTGTCTACGGATTAAACGTGAAATAACAATATGTAATCGGATTAATTACGATCGGATATAATGCCGAGTGTTACATCATCGGTAGGTTTTTTTTCTTTTTTTTTTTTTTTTTAATTACCGAGCAAAGCCAATTTGCTAGAAGCCTTATCGCCATAGTATCGGGCGCGACTCGGTTTATAGAGCCGGTACGCGTTTATATAAGTACTCGCTAACGGCCGAGAGGTCATTATCATCGGCGCGCCGCCGGGGTGAAAAAAAAAAATAAAAAAGGAAACATCCGGTAAAAAACACCGACGACGATATTATAACCTTGTGGTGAAAAAAAATCTAAATCCATTTAGATTGGTGTCTCGGTCGCCGCCGCCCGTACCAATTCCCTATAAATCACGAGGCCGCGACTGTTGTTTTACAAAATCGCCTCTTGTTCCGCTCGTGTGTCTGTGCGTCAGTGTGTGCGTTTAATTTGTATTCAGTATAGCGCGGAGCACAGAGCTCAGATGAGAACCGGTCTCGGCGCGGACCAAACTCGATAATATTACATATTATTATATTATTATAGCGCGGACAAAGTAAAAAAAAAAAAGAAAAAAAAACACAAAAAAAAAAAAAACAAAAACAAAATCGTACGTACGGATAGGTATATCGAATATAATATGGTATAGAGCCGAACGCCGTATACACACATGTGCGCGTTCTAAACGTGTATAAGTGCAATGATATTATTATGCGCGTGTAAAAACAAAACGTACGATAAAAGCACCGGACGTAAACACCGCACTGTTGTGTGAACGGAAAAGTTTTAAAGGTCGCGTACATTACGGGAGGAATCGAACGTCCGAGAAAACAGACGACTCCGCCCTCGGATACGGCGACGTCAAATACTCGCCGCTTACCGATCTAATGCATGCATGTCTATATATTATAAGAAGATACGGCCAACGAAAAAAAAGACTACGAGTGGAAGAAAAATCCACTCTATCGAGGACGACCCCCTCTGGCCGAATTATTGACCGCATTAAAGGTCCAACAGGAACCGGGTCGGTGGCAGAAGCCAAAAATCGCATATAAGAACACCGGAAATTTTAATTGATCAAACCATTGGTCGCGACGACGTTCGAAATCAAACTATCCAAGAACATACTATACGACAGTCAAATGGGATAATTGAGATCAAAAAACGATTCAGAGCGGCGCTCGGGAAACTGCGAACAAGTTTATAAGACGTGTTTATCCAGCTCTGTATAACCAATAGGTAACCGCGCATAAACCAACAGACTTTTGTATACAAAATATCGGAAACCTATAGGGCAGGGGTGTCCGACCCGCGGCCCTCACTTCAATTTAAAAACCATGAATTAATTATATATAATATATTAATATTACGAGAACAAATTTATTTTAAAAATAAAAACCATCAAATAACGTCTGTGTTTTTACCGTTGCGGCATCTTATCTTATATTACATACGGACGTGTACATCGGACCTAAAGATAAACATTATTAGTGTTTTATCTTTATTGGCTCCGATACTAATATTCTGTGTCATTTATCAAAAAATAAAAATAAAATACCTAATAATTTGATTTGTATAATAAACTAATAATCAAATAGCGAAATGTCGTCCNTTCAACGAAAAGTGGACAGCGGAATACTTTTTTATAGAAATGAAAAATGGGGCATTATGCCTAATTTGTAAGGAAACCATTTCAGTTTTTAAAGATTATAATTTAAAAAGGCATTATTTACAAAAACATGCAACCAAAATGGATTCCTATCAAGGTTTTTTTCGAAACAAAAAATTTTAGAGTTAAAAACATGTCTTTCTTCTCAGCAACTCAATATTAAAAAAGCTACTTCTGAGTCCCTAACCGTTACAAAAACTTTTTTTATTATAAATAAATTTATTTTTCTGTGTACTTATAATTAAATTATTAAATATCAATACTTGTAAAAATATTTCTGCTTATTATTCGCTAATGTAAAATTATAAAAAAAAAATGTATTGTTGTAGTATAGATTATAATTTAATCATTAAATTAGAATGTATTATTATTTAAAAAAAGTATGTGGCCCACAACAACTTTTACCTACATGATGTGGCCCAGTATTCACCAAAGGTCGGACACCCCTGCTATAGGGGGAAAAAACGGTTAGCGTTCGCAAAAATAATGTGTTTTCTAAGAGAGCAAAGAAGAAAACAAATATCGCGTCACTGCAATACCAACGGTTTTTCGGCTACACACTGGAAATCGTATAAGCCGCACAGCGCGGTACAACACTGCTAGTTACAAAAAACTCGTATAACATAAATATGAAAAATAAAATATTGTGTCGCCGCCGTAACTATACCTATGCGTAATATTATAATATACTAAATAGGTACAGTATTGAGTCAACGAGGTTTTCGTGATGCCGGTGGCAGGAAACGGTAATGATTTCGGATTCGTTTGGGTTGTTTTTATTATTTTTTTTATTTTTTTTTTTCGTTAATGTTTTCGATTAACGCGCCGCCGGCGGTCGATGCGGGTCCGTCAAACGGTTTTTACCGTGCACACGAGACTCCGTCTGGCGCGCGATCTAACGAGGTGAAATAGTCGCGCGTGCAGTGTGCGTGTATGTTTATGTGCACGTGCATGTATACTTCCGTTCGGATTTCCGACGACCGCGGGTCGAAAGACGAAAACGTTTCCGAAGGTTTCCCACTTGACGAATCACCGCGAGAAACGCCGCCGCGAAACCCGTACCGGCCGTGCGATAACACGCGAGTAAACGGGTCGGCGGCCCCGATAGTAATCCGATTGTTTATTATTATTATCGACCGACGCGGGAAGTTTCGGTTTCGCGAGCGCGGCGACGGCGCGGTGAACGCCGCGAAACGCGACTGCGTTGATCGTCAATACAACGCCGCGTAGGCCGTTGCCGGAAACGGTCTAAGAAGTGCCGGGAGAGGCGTAAAACAATATCGCGACGTCTCGGCATACACGTCGGCACGGCATGGCGTACACGCCGAAAGGGGGGGGGGCGACGCGACGACTGCGTAGTGATGATTCAAAACCGAATATTCCGAAAAATCGTGCGCGAGATTCCGATTCCGAGAGGAGACTTTTTTTTTTTTTCTTTTTAAGAATATTTTTTTAATATCTCTCGATCCCCCGCCGGGGCTGTGCCGAACTGTCGGACCGAGCGCCGAACACGCCGGTTGTTTTATCGATTGGTTGTTTTTTTTTTTCTACTTGCACCCGCGCGCGCTCGCGTGTGTGGCGGTGTTTGCTCGAGGGATCGGGCCGGCTTTCGGTCGGGAATATAATAATAATAATTCGTTTTTTTCTCTCTTCCCGCGCACTTTTTAGCCCTCTCCGGAGTGTCGTCAAAAACGTTCTACGTTTTCGATCGCGGGAGCGAAAATGAAAATAATAAAAAAAGGGTAAAAAATAATCAAAATCCGTCCCTTTTTTTATTTTTCTGGGGGAAAAACGCGAACAACGCTCGTGTACTCGGGAATGTATAATACCATGACTTCCGTCGACTGAAAAAAAAAACCAAACTTCTATAATCGCTAAAACCATTACCGCGGTAATCCGAAATTCGAGAGACTTGCGAAAAACCTTCCAGCTAGGTTACCGTTTGAATTTCCTCGAGATATCCGAAATTTCGAGACGGCGAGCAAAAAAATTCGAGTTAGCGACAGAGTTGAGCGGCGACAGAAACTCGGAATTATCGACTCACATTTGACTCTGATTCGTCGTGGAATTTAATTTTGAGATAAATTGAGAGTTCGGAAAATCATCGAGAGTTGTGTATATGAACAAGACATCGACTGCGACCGATTGAAAATCGCGCGGGACAAATCGTGCGTTTATGTGTATATAAAACTCGATTAAAAAATTAGTCTGAAAACATCTGACGAGCAAAACTGTGTATCAGCGATAAAAAAACGTGTAAATATCTCTGACTTCCCCACCCACGAAAAGCATCGGTTTTTCATTAATGCCACCGCGATAACAGCCGATAACACTCGGCCCACGACTCGACAATATGTTATTCACGATAAATCGACGCTTTTCGCGGACGGATAGGCGGGGACACGGAAATGTGTCTTTTTTTTTTTTTTTTTCCGGACATCGTTTTTCGCGCGTGTCGGCGACTACTGATCTTCGACAGTTATGTCTACGTTAGTTTAGGTCACGTACCCAGAAGTGAATTCTGTACGTATTGGGACGCGAAATCCACGGACGTGTTTCGGCGTTCGGTCTCGGGACGGTACGCGGCGGGTGTTTAAAATAATTCGTCGGCGCGATGGCGTGAAACGGAAAACGACCGCGACGACGACGCCGTCCGAAGGAAAGAGAACGGTAAAAACAAAAATAATACAAATCGTATTAAAATTTATAATGGATAATGAAAAGAGTAAACCGAAAAACACACCGGAAGTCGGTCATTAACCAAACACGGGTTTTTTTTTTTTTTTTTTTTCGTTCCTTCTTTCATTCCGTTGCCTCGTCTTCCCCTCCCCCCTGCGTTGTATTATTGTTCTTGTTGCTGTTGTTGTTGTTGTTGTACGTAGGTATATACTGTCCGTGTCTACCGGGAGCGCGCGCGTTCGACACACACCGTTAAGACATTAATTACGGGTAATTAGTCGTTTCACACTTTTATTTAGTCACGGGCACGCCGCAGCGGATATGATAATAATATAATAATATTATTGTGCGATGAGCCGACGACGGCGACGTCTCGGAAAGACGAGACCGGCCCCGACGCGAGTGCACGAGGCGTAGGATTATAATTATTATCGTTTCTACACTGCAGGCAGCAGTGCCGACAAAACGAAACGGCGAATAATATTGTTCGACCGACGTTTTCAAAATGGCGACACGATTTTCGCGTTGTGTTCCCGCGGGTCGGCGGTTTTATACGTATTATAAACCCGAAAACGGGTTTTCATTTTTTTTTTTTTTTTAAACCGACGTACATCGTAGAAAACGCACGCGAACACGATGTCTCGGTGATTCGCACCTGAAAGTTTCGCGTGAACAAAAAACGACGACCTGCAGACGGGGCTAGGCGTTCTAAACATCCGAATTTTCAAAATTCACGGCCACTATAAAACCGCCTCGGGTTCTGTCGTTAACGTCACCGAATAAGAATCGAACATGCTGATATTATTGTATCATGGCGTTTCGAACGAAATATAGTAAACTAAATTGTTGTCG